GTGGCCACCGGGATCCTCTGAGCAATGAGGCCATCAAGGTCACCAAGGTCACTGTGGTCACTGTGGCAGCTGTGGCCACCATGATCACCAAGACTCCCTCAGCCCCAAGGCTACCACAGCCACCCTGGCCAGTGTGGCCACCAAGGCCATTGTGCAAAGCAATTCTAATAAAAAATCTATCAAAAAAACTCCATTAAATAATTCTGACAAAGTCAGCAAAGAGAGAAAATTGCTAAACAGGGCTCGATGTCACTCCCCACAACAGCAATCTTGGGAAGGTCTCTTTCTCTCAGCCTCAAGGAGGATCCTTGGGAAGAACCCCTTCCCAAGGGAAGATCCTCAGACACATTTCATTCCAAGCAGAATAGGGGAGAGGAATGTCTGTCTGAGACAGGATTGGATGTTCCCAGGGTCAGCTAATAGATGGCCAGGCGCAGCTCTGGTGTTATAGCCTCAGTTGTCAATTTGAAGTTGGTGATTTGGGCTGGTTTTCACCAATTCAGCAACAAAATCTACACCAGACCCCTCTCAATGTTGCCATGATGGCCACAAGTGGGGCATTGTCCCTTGGGCACATTCCAGGCAGAGCATCCAGACACATCCTGCACTTCGAAGAACCTTAAAGGCTGGAAACTGGGAGGTTCAAGAGGGCAAGGACAGATCCTGTCCCTGGGGAGGGACAGTCACCAGTGCCATCTTTGGCTGGGTGGGACCTGCTGGAGCAGTTCTGGAGAAGAATCTGGGGTTGCTGGTGGGTGACCATTGAAGCTGGCTGTGCTGCCTAGAGCCAGAATGGATTCAGGGGATATCAGGGAGAGCAGGGGGAGGAAGTCAGGGAATGTTCATGTCCCTCTGCCCTGCCCAGGGAGGCATAACAGGAATGCCGTGTCCAGCTCTGTCAGGTGCCGTGTCCATTCCTGGGCTCCTCTGCACCCAATCCTGTGCACAGGGATGACGCTGCCTGAGCTGGGAGGTTGGGCCAGGGGCCCACTCTGGGTCCTTCCAGCCTGACCCATGCTGGGATTTGGGGATTCTGGCAGTTGTGGTTCAGGAACTGTCCACTGGAGGGCAGCAGCCAGCACGGGAAATCAGCGGCACTGCACATGCGCCGCCCCCAGCTGCAGTTCCGGGTGCCAACAGCAGGCGGCAGCATGAGCTGCTGGCGCTGCCGAGCGCCCGCCCTGCCCCGTCCTGGCCCCGGGGGCTCTGCAATGGTTTGGGATGGAGCAACCTTAAAGCCCGTCCGGTGCCAGCCCTGCCATGGGCAGGGACATCTTCCCCTGGGCCAGGCTGCTCTAAGCCTCTTCCCAGTCTGGCCTTGAACCCTTCCAGGAGTGTGGCAGCCACAGCTTTGTTATAGATGGGTAACATTATATCTGACTCTCACAATTAAATGGTGAATATTGTGTGTATATTTAGAGAAATTTTGTTGACTTATAGTAATGTGATTGTAGTTTGGCTTTTGAACACCCTTTGCGCTCCACACTGTCCCCTTCACCTGCCTCTGTATTGTTCCCACTGGACGGCCCAGGTTCTCAGGGTTGTCAGGGACATGTGGGGGCCAGACATGAACCCGTGCCCTTTGCATTGGGCAATTGGGAATGGGGAAAATCTGTTCCTGATGAGGTGTGGCATGCCTCACCTCACCTCACCTCACCTCACCTCACCTCACCTCACCTCACCTCACCTCACCTCTCCTCCAGTCAAGTTAGAAGAAGGTCTGTACCTATGGACAGCGAGTCAGGATTGAATGGCAGACTTTGGCAGAGCCAGGTTTGGCTGATGCAACACTGGGGGTATAAAAGGCGAAGCCGCCGTTTTGTGGTAGAGACACTGGCAGTCGGCCATGGTCCCAGTGCTGCCTGTTTTCCTTATTCAGTCCTTTTATTGTGCTGTTGTGGTCTTATAAACCTTTAAAATTTTAATGTGAGCAGTTATTTCTCACACTCACCATGATCTCCATAATCACCATGGCCACCATGACCCCCAGAAAAATGTGGCCAACACGGCCACCATTGCCATTTTCCCCTGGAGGAAAAAAGGAAAAAAGGGAAAAGAGTAGAGGAAGAGAAGAGGAAAAACAACAATCTTCCCCACCCCCTCTCTCCTCCAACATCTCCCTGACTGTCCTTTACTTCTTTAGAAATTCATTCATTTGCATTCTTGATCATATTCTGTGCTTTCCCACATATTCAGGACTTAAACCCAACCAAACTCTATTTCTGCACCACAATTAATTCAACCCTGAAAGGAATAAGAGGAATGTTTCTTTACAAACAGATTGTTTGGATCTTGTGGTAGATTGGGCCTGGGACTTGTAGATAAGGAAGTGACTGGAGAAACGATCAGTTTCAGAAAATGTTCCTCACTAACACGGACTGCTGCTCAGACAAGGTCCTGCAAAATTCCTGAACTTCAAGAAGAAGAAAAAAGTCTTAACAGGCTTATGAATTTTAATTTCCGCACCCAGGGTGGAGTTAAATCTCATTTGAATGGTCACGTGTCTGTGTGATAGAAGAGTGGGCTGTGTAGCAAGGGGGATATTTTGTAGGTGGGTTTTGAAGTCTGCACCTTCTGAATACCTCCATGAATGGGGAAGGGGAGTGCACGGAAATTGGGATAAAAAGGAGGCTGCAATTTCCAGCAACTTGGTACACCCCATGGGGAAATTGCCCATGGCCTCTGTCCCAGGTTACAATAAAAAGCTGTATTCTATTCCCATCCTCAAGAGCTGTCGAAACCAGGAGGGACATTGTTGTTTCTTATCTGCTGTTAATGAGCCCATCAATGTCTTGCCACATGACACAGAGATAACTCCCTCTAGGAGCCATTTCTGTTTAATGGACAGTCAAGGACCCACTGTATGACTCATTTGCATGATAACAGCGCATTGTGAGATGCTCTGCCCAGGAGGGAGGAGCTAAGAACCTCCACCTGGATATAATCTGGGTTTTGGGACAGAGCAGTCAGACTTTCCACTGTATTCCCAGAGAAACAGCCATCTTTTCCACTGGATCTTTGAGGAAGACTACATCCATCTACAGGATAACTGCTCCAACAGCACCACATCTGCCACTCCAAGAGGACTGCAGCTACCAATCGAACTGGACTGCTGCCAACACGCTGACCAACATGGTGTCAGGTCATACTCTTTGTCTGTGGTTTTTCTTTTGTATTATTGCATGTATTTTGGTTTTCCTTCTCCCTCTTCGCAATAAATTGCATTTCTGACTTGGAGTCTCTCACTGGTTTTGCTTTCAAACCAGAACAGCCTCTTCCTTTGATCATGAATGAAATTACAGGGCTCTTCTGTCGCCTTTCTGCAAGTAAACCTCTGGCAAGGTAAATTTTTCTGCTCAAAAGGTAGACAGTAAAAATGTTCCACTTGAATCCTAAGGGGTATGCTTAGCTGCAGCCAGAGTCTCATCCGCAAAATGGCGGCTCTGACCTTTATACCCCTGGTGTTGCATCAACCAAATACATATCCATAAGCAGTCATATATATTCAAACATTTTTCTTCTAAATCCCTTGTCATTCCCAAAGTCTGCCACTTGATTCTTCCTTGCTGTCCATTGGTGGAGACCTTCCTGCAGTGCGGTTGGAGGTGAGATGTTGCCGTGCCACTTCTCCACAGCAACAGGCATTCCCCATTCCCAACCGCCCCGTGCAAGGGGCACGGGTACATGTCCCTGACAATCCTGACAACCACAGCTGTCCTGCAGCAATAATATGGGTGGGGGAAAGGGGGCGATGGGGAGAACACAGGATGTCCAAACAACAAACTAAAATCACATAACCATGCATCAACAAAACTTCTCTTAACATAAACACAGTATTCATTCCTTAATTTTGAGAACCAATCATCACATTACCCATCAGAACAAAAGCTGTGGCTGCCCCACTCCTGGAACAGTTCAAGGCCAGGCTGGGCAGGGCCTGGAGCAGCCTGGCCCAGGGGAAGATGTCCCTGCCCATGGCAGGGCTGGCACTGGACGTGCTTTAAGGTCGCTCCATCCCAAACCATTGCAGAGCCCCTGGGGCCGGGATGGGGCGGGGCGGGCGCTCGGCAGCGCCAGCAGCTCGTGCTGCCGCCTGCTGTTGGCACCCGGAACTGCAGCTGGGGGCGGCACATGCGCAGTGCCGCTGATTTCCCGCGCTCGCTGCTGCCCTCCAGTGGACAATTCCTGAATCACAACTGCCAGAATCCCCAGATCCCAGAGTGGGCACCTGGCCCAACCTCCCAGCTCAGGCAGAATCATCCCTGAGACCAGGATTGGGTCCAGAGCAGGACAGAACTGGACACGGCACTGGGCAGAACACAACACAGCACTGAACAGAGCTGGACACAGCACTCCTGATGTGCCTCACTGGGAAGGACAGAGAGCCATGGTCACTCCCTGACTTCCTGGCCTCACCCCTCCTGATACACCCTGGAGCCCTCCTGGCCCCAGGCCACATGGCCAGCTTCACTGGTGACCCACCAACAACCCCAGGTTCTTCTCCAGTACTGCTTCAGCAGGTCCCACCAGCCAGGAATGGCACTGGAGACTGTCCCTCCCCAGGGACAGGACCCTGCCCTTGCCATCGTGAACCCCCCAATTTCCAGCCTCTAAGGTTCTCCTGAAGTGCAGGATGTGTCAGGATGCTCTGCCTGGAATGTGCCCCAGGGACAATGCCCCATTTGTGGTCCTCAGGGCTGTGCTGAGAGTGGTCTGGTGCTGATTTTTTTGCTCAATTGGGCTAAAACCAGCCCAAATCATGAACCCCAAACTGACAAGTGAGGATGAAAGACCAGAACCGGGCCTGGCCATCTATCAACTGACCCTGGGAATGTCCAGTCCCCTCTCAGACAAAGATCCCTCTCCCCTGTTCCTGCTGGAAATGAAATGTGTGTGAGGTTCCTCCCTTGGGAGGCAGTGCTCCTGAGGGATCCTCCTTGAGGCAGAGAGAAAGAGACGTTCCCAGGAGTGTTGGTGTGAGGACTGACATTGAGCCCTGCTTAGGAATTGTCACTTTTTTCTGGCTTTGTCAGATTTATTTAATGGAATTGTTTTGATAGAATTATTTCATAGAATTGCTTTGCACAATGATACTGGTGGCCACAGTGGCTACAGTGGCTGTTGTAACTTTGTGGCTCCGGGTCTCTGGGTGATCATGGTGGCCACAGAAGCCTTGTTGATTTTTGTGACCATGAGGCCAGAGTGGCTGTGGTGGCCGCAGTGCCACAATGACAATGGTGGCCACAGTGACCTCATGGTGGCAATAGCTGCCAAGGTGGCCAGAGTGGCTGTGGTGGCCTTGGTAGCCTTGGTGGCCTTGTTTCTCTAGAGGTCATGGTGGTCTTGGTGATTGTGGTGGCCACAGGGATGACAGTGACCTTGGTTGCCATGGTGGCCATGCTTGCCACAGTGACCACAGTGACCTTGGAGACCACAGTGGCCTCGTGGCTCAGAGGATCCCAGTGGCCACTGCCAGGGCCGTGGTGGCCAGGAGGAGTCCTCCGACATGGAAGGGAGCCCTGGGGGCGCTGCCACCTGTCAGACAAAGAGACGGACGTCAGGGGGATCATGGGGGGAGTGAGGGGGTGGGGGAGGACCATAATGGGGGGTTAGGGGTGACAGGAGAGATGGGGACCATGAGGTGTCAGGTGACAGGGTGTTGCGGGGGGGCACAGGGGGGCACGAGGCCCAGGGAGGGCAGGGGGGTCATGGTGGTCATAGGGGTGACAGGGATCAGGGGGAGTCAGGAGGTGCCATGGCCAGTGACAGCTGGGGACAGGGGTTCAGGAAGGGCCATGAGGGCTCCCAGCCCACACACGTCCAGCACACAGGGCCCAGCCCCACAGCACTGCCTTTGGTGGGGAGGGACAGGATCAGAATGGGGACATCCCTGTCCCTGTGGTCCCCTGGCTGGGCTCTCCCTGACCCTGTCTCCTCCCAGATGTGGGGGTCCCCATCCCGGTGCCCTGTCATGGCCATTCCTGTCCCCGTGCCCACAATGGGTGTCCCGAGATTGGCGTCCCCAGTATGGGCTGTCCCTGTCCCCAAACTCTCAGTGTCCCCACCCTCGGTGCCCTGTCGTGGGTATTCCCTGTCCACAGTGGCCTTCCCCAGCACTGGGTGTCGCTGTCCCCCCATGCCCAGTGAGTGTCATTGTCCCCTGTGCCTTATCCTGGTGTCCCCATGGCCACAGTGGGTGGCCCCAGCACTTGGTTTCTCACCACATCCAGTGAGTGTCCCCAGCACTGGCTTTCCCTCTCCTTCTGCCCAGCATGGGGTGTCCTTGTCCCCGCAGCCACACTGGGTGCCCATGTCCCTGCCCCATCCCCAGTGGGTGTCCCCATCGCCCCAGGCTCTCACCTGTGGCATCACCTTGCAGCCACTCGCACTTGTATTTGCTGAAGGTCCCTGTGGAGCGGAGCTGGATCCTCACGCTTTCTCCTTTCTTGCTGACTTCGATGACCTCGAAGGTCTCAAAGGGTGGGATCAGCACCTCCATCTCGCCAGGATATTTGGAGAATTCGTGGATTTCTGCACCATGGCACGTGTACACCTGGAATATCGTGTCTCTCCCGAATTGCTGGGAGGTTGTTTCATTCTGTGACGTCGACGTGAATCGACCAAACCGCACGACATCACCGTACTCTGCCTGGAACCTGACCCCACACACCCTCCGGTACACATCCTGACACTTTGGTTTCTGAGTGACCCTCAGTGTCGCCAGGGCCTGGGTCAGCAGGAAATGCAGAGTTTTGAAGTGGAAGTTGTCCCGGTATTCCTGCCTGGAGCGCCCGGCCCTGTGCACGGCTGGGTTGAACTCTCTGTACAGGTCATCCATCGTGTAGGCCATGAGGGCGATGGCCTGGGCTGGGGATGACAGAGGGGACACACGGGACCCCCGACTCTGCCATGTGGCTCTGGCCTTAGTCCAGGTCTTGGCAAAGAGAGGGTTCTGCCCAAAGTCGGAGCGGTTGAGGGCTGGCAACGCCTCAGTCATGGCAGGGCCGCAGCCCTGGTACTCGTCATCGAAGGAGTCCTGGGCCATGTCCAGGGTCACCACCTCGATGCCCGTGGTGGCCATGGCCATTGCCAGCAGTGCCAGGGTCTGTTCCTGGATGGCCATGGAGGGGAGAGGCCACAGGGACCGGTGTGGGACACTGGAGGACACAGAGGGGGCACGGGAGACACAGGGAGGGTTCATCAGTGAGGGACTGGGGTTAGCCCAGGGCGAAGGGAGGCACTCCTGGCCAGCAGAGCCCTGGGCATGTCTGGGCTCCCTCATCCCAGATCCTGGGGTTATTTATGTCTCCCCAACATCCCCCAGACCCAGGAACCCAAATCCCAGTCTCACAGTACCGTGTCCTCCTGGCCCCCCAGAAGCCCAATCCTACTCCCATGACTACAAGTCCCCTCAGCCCTAGCAGAATCCCGACCCAAATCCTGCGCTCACTCCCTGAGCCCCCCAGTGCCCTCCTCAGCCTGTCCCCAGACCCCAATCCCACTCCCATTCCCCAATTTCTTCAGTGTCACCGAAGGACCTCAACCCAAATCCAGGCAACATCCCTCTCCCCAAAGTGTCTTTCAGACCCCACATGACCCCAATCTCACTCAGACCATCCCATGTCCCCCCCTCACTTACCCCCAGAGCACCCCATGACCCCAGTCCTGTGATTCCCCCAGTGTCCCACAAGCATCTCAATCCCAATCCCAATCCCACGGTGCTGTGTCCCCATTCAGTGTCCTCAGGTGTCCCCCCAGCCCTCGATACCAAAATTGTCCGGAGTGAATTCCCTGAAGAAACTGGAGGTATCAGAAAGCCGGAATTCTTTCTCAGCTTGGACTCACAGCAGATCTCTCCTGGTGCTGCAGCGCAGGGGAGATTTTGCCATGGGGTATTTATCCACCATAGTTATAAATATTCATGAAAATGTGTCCTTTATCTGATACAGAAACTGTACGTTTCCCATAAATAATTTCCACTGATCCACCTTTCTCTGCAAGTCCTTTTATTGCACTGGAGGATCATAAAAATGGGGCTTCTGGGGGTCATTTTCACCAAATACTTTGATATCAAAGTGATTTTTCCTGGTACGATTTCGTTGCACAGGTGCTGTTGTTTCCTGTTACAGAACTTGCCAAACCCCCACTGGAGTTCCCTTTATCTGTTTCTCAACGGCTTCCAGCTGTGTTTTTCATCCTGTGGGCACACCAGTCCATCCTTTTACTGTTTCTGCCAGTTTGTCTTCAGGGTCTGTCCAGCACCTTCAGGGGAAAGGAAGATTTCCATTCTCTCTGTTATTTGTCACTTTGTGACAGAAATGCTCCAGTCCTCTCATCATGCATGCTGCCCTCCAGGAATTCTAGGAGCTCCAGGTCTTTCCTGTCCTGAGGAGCCCAGAAAGGGACATGGCACTGGGCAGAGCTGGACATGGCACTCCCGATGTTCCTCACTGTGAAGGGCAGAGGGGCACTATAAATCCCTCACCTCCTGATCCTGCTCTTCCCAATACCTCCAGGTCCCTCCTCGTCCCAGGCACATGGCCAGCTCCACTGGTCACCCACCAGCACTCCTAGGTCCTTCTCCACAGCTGCTCCAATAGGTCAACCGCAGCTGCCACTTGCACTGGGGACTGTCCCTCCCCAGAGACAGGACCTGCCCTTGCCCTCTTGAACCTCCTAATTTCCAGTCTTTAAGGTCCCTCTAAAGTGCAGAATGCTCTACCTGGAATGTGGCAAGGGACAATGCCCCATTTGTGGCCATCGGGGATGCATTGAAAGGGGTCTTTTGTTGATTTTGATGTTGAATTGGATGAAAAGCAGTCTGAATGACCAACCCAGAACTGACAACTGAAGGTGAAGCATCAGAGCTGGGCCTGTATGTCCATCAGCTGACCCTGGGAATGCCCAGTCCCCTCTTGGACAGATATTCCTCTCCCCTATTCCTGCTTGGAATGAAAGGTGGGGGATCTCCCTCCCTCAGGAAGGGGATGCTCCCTGAGGATCCTCCGCGAGGCAGAGAGAAAGAGATGTTCCCATGAGTGTTGGTTTGGGGAGTGACATCAGTCCTGCTTAAGAATTATCCTTAAGAATTATCCCTTTTTGCTGGCTTTGAAAGATTTATATAATGAAATTGTTTTGAATAAATTATTTAATACAATTATTTGATAGAATTATTTAATAGGATTGCATTGCACAACGACCTTGGTGGGCACAGTGGTCACAATGGCTGTGGAAGCCTTGTGGCTGAGGGAGACTTGGTGATCACGGTGGCCACATATAAGTCTCTATCCGAAGTTTCCCTCATCTGCCTCACGATCCTCATGAAAGGGACAGAGATTGGGCCCACCAAAGAAAAAGGACCCTTGTCTGAAATTCTGGTCTTGTTGGACACAGTCGCTTCCCAAGACCCTGAGCACAGCCTCTGGCATTACTAATCTGTGGTTCACAGGTGTGTTTGCTGTATGCTACACTGAGCCCAGTGAAAGGGAAAAAAAGGGGCACTCTGCCCTTTTTGCAACAATGCCCTGGAATTTCCCCACCTCGGCTCGGCTGGACTTCTCCTGAGGTAGTTTTGTCTTGGTGGTCCCCACAGAGGACCCCTCACCTGTTGTACAACCATCGTGACAGAGGGACTGAGATGGAAGAAGCCTCTCCATCAAGGACTGAGACATGAAACCCCGATGTGAAAGAGCCCTCCCCCTCCTTCCAAGGCCTGGGACTGAAACCCCTTACCCAGGAGAGGTGTGTAGGGGAGGCAAGCTGACCAGAGAGAGATGGATGTTGCAGGTGCGAGCAGTGGACCAAGAAGACAATGGTTCTCACCCACTGCTGAGAACATGGACTGTGTGTATCATTCTTCAGATACCATTTTTCCCCCCAAAATACAATAGACTACTTTTGATTTGATTTCAAGATTCATCCCCTTCCCCCATCAAAAAAGTGTATAATAAGAGTTTGAATTGATTGCAATCTCTGAGATCTCCTCTGACGTGACCTGGTGAACTCCGTCACCGGGCCATCAAAGGACTTTGCCGTTTCCACGTTTGGTAGCTATATACCTTCCTTTCTCTTCCTCCCTCTTTTTCCCTATTCTTCCCTTTTTTCCCCAATCCCTCCCCAACGCATTTTGCTGTGGTCATTCAATAAAGGTGCATTGGTTTTTCATTATTACTGCAAAGCCCTGTGTCGTGTCCGTTTTTGCACTCTGAGATCAATTCACAAACCATCACAAAATCCGTTCCTAAGTACAGATCGTGACATTAAATTGGCGTCACCGACAGGATTCTGGTAGGTGGAGGGGTTTGCAGGCGGTGCGCAGTCTGTAATGGGGGAGAGGACGTCTCACTCTGCAAGGGGTGTGATTCAAAGTTCCCGCACACTGCACACGCCTAGGTGAAAAGCATTTCCCCACACGCTTTTGAGGCTTCTGTCTCCAGAATTTCACAAAAGATCTCTCGGTGCAAAAGGGGGAAACTGTTTTGTTGTGTTTGTGTGTATCTGGACTGTCTGGGAAGGAAGGGGCAAATTGAAGAAATTAAGCAAGGGCCTCCCAGGCAGATTAGTCCCCTCCACCTACCCAGGGAAGTGAGGGGTTACGCAGCAAGAGCTGTGTGATTGAGTAACTTAAGTGAGTACTTTCCCTGTCGTAGTTTTGGTTCCTCCACAAAGGAACAGGGTTTTTTTGTGTGTTTGTGTGTCTGTGTGTCTTTGTGTGTGTGTGTGTCTACACTGTCTGGGAAGGAAAAGACACTTCTGGAGTAACTAAATAGAGCTTCCCAGACAGATTCTAGTCTCTTCACCCACCCAGGGAAAAGTTAAGCAAAGGGAAAACACAGCCAAGGGCTGTGTGTTTGCATACCTTAAGCTTACCCCTCCCCTCTCATGGTTCTAATCCCTTCACAAAATGAGTGAAAACCTCAGTGCAAAGGTAAAAGCTGAATTTTATTCTTTACTTGCTAAACACAATGCAAAACCATCACCCAGCGGAGAAATTTGGGCAGAAAACAATTGGTTTAATTTAGAAAATGTCATTGATAGAATATATTCTCTGCAACATGAATCAAAGCTCAAACTGGGCAAAAATAAAGCCATCTTCTGCTCAGTTTTGGGAGCCTGCCTCACAGCAGCTATAGAAAATTGCTTTAAGCAAAGAAGTAAGGAAATGGTAATAATAGACTCCCTTCAAAACCTAGTTGAAGTTCTGCAAAAACAATTAAATGAAAATAAAAATGAGATCTACATGTTGCGAGCTGCTCTTAGGGAGGAACACTTTAAAAATATACATAGTGCCAACTCCTCTACAGAGGCAGAAGAAAAGGAAACACCTCACATTAAACAAATCTATCCCCATAAGGAACTTGAAGTGGTGAAACAAATCTATCCCTATAAGGAACCTGAAGCAGTTAAAAATTGTGGGGAATACTGCTGTCCTCATTTGAGACCTTTTATTAAAACCGAATATAACTGTATTAATGATGAGGACCTTGAACCACATATCACCACTAAACAAACACCATTCAGTGCTACCAAATTAGCTAAACTGAAAAAAGAATCTGGGCGCCTCCCACAAGAATCAGAATATGTTTTCCCAGTGTCTCTCACTGGTGGGGACCAAATTAAATTAACTGAACAGGAGGCCAGTGGGTACTGGGGACATGGTATCTTTTTAACAACAGGAGATAAGCGTGACTCATGGTCCCTGACTCAGCACACGTCTTTTTGGGCCGGGGGAATTAATCCTTTAGAAAGAGGAGACCCCCTGGCAATTGTCGGCACCACTGATCAGCTTTTGGAAAGTGTACACAAAGCTGCCTGCCTGCAAATGATTCATGAAAAGAAATTAATTCCTGGTTTTGAATCTCCAATGCAATTAACTGTGAAGCCAGAACTAATGACCCCTCTAATTAGTGGGCTTCCAGAAACACTAAAACCTACAGCAATCACTCTACAGAAAACCATACTGGCTTTAAGCCCTGTAGAAAGATTGGAGAGATTCCTCAAGAACTCCACTGACCAAGCTGGTCTACTGATTCTGGCTTCACACCATACTCTCCTTCACAGTCCGCAGCTTCTCAATCTGATTCACCTGCCAGCAGCCTTAAGGTCTGGACATGGGGAGAGGTT